AGACTGGACCACGGAAGAATCGCGCACGTATCGCGGAGTATCGGTGCATCGCCGAACGGTTAGGCGGCACAATGGGCCCCGCGAACAGGAACAGGCTCGCTAATGAAGCTTCCTGCGTCCAACACATGTTCTCATTACGCGCCTTTGTTGCACCCGCGCGGAGATAAATGTCGCGCCCCCGCAAACACCGTGTAAACGGCGGCTCCCTCGGGAAAAGCGGAAGAGACCGCCCGGCTATATAGCGCCGCGTTCTCCTCCCCGGGCGCGACTTATGACTCCCGCCCTCGCGCCACCTTCCTGCTTCCTTTTATTGAATCGGATATACAGATATTCCTGCAACGCTTTGCCCATAGAGGAATTTCTCGTTATCCCGTCTCTCGCCAAGTGGATTTGATTGGAGGAACGGAGAGGGGGAAAAGAGAGGCAGGAGAGAAGGAGGGAGAGTTGACGGCTATTCAGCAGCCCTCGAAGCGTTGAGTATCCGCACTCAAAGGCGCTCGAATTGACTGGATTTCGAGACTATCCGGAAAGAGAGGCGCGGATAAAGTTTGTACAAAAGTGAATTTTTTTTTCTTTATTTCGCGAGGCGCGAGAGCGGGAGAGACGACCGCCGTCGCGAAAAAAGAAGAAAGGTAGAAAAGAAACGAAAAATTAATCGTATGATCGAAAATGAAATTTTTTTTTGAAAATTTGTGCAGCGGGCGAGCGAGCGAGAGAGAGAGAGAGAGAGAGAAAGCGCTATTGTCCATGCAAAAGAGGATAGAGTGTTATTATGACGTAATAGTCGATAATGGCACGAAGAGCCACAATTAATGTTCTCATTCCGCGGTAATAAAGTTTGAGCGATCGCATACGTGCCGTAAGCGCGGTATTGCCTAACCGACACAGTCATTCGACATAATATTGCTGTAATGCCGGACACGTAACGGTAAGTTTATTGCCGACACCTAATTAACCTGGTAAATCTACTGCTCATTGTTTTCTCGTTGTTCTATGAACGTACGCAACGGTTATAGTACCCAGCATTATGAGCGTTAGAAAGCATCGGATTAAAGAGGAGAGAAACGCGTTATTACGATGACTGAGAGAAAACGAATGATAATTAATAATCCACATGTATTATGCAACAGCAGTACGAATAATTGAACCGCAATCGATCATTCTTTTTCTCTTTTCTTCGGCATATCGTGTATTGCGTCTATCGTGCTCGCGCCAAGAGTACGTCTTAATGAGAAATGTTATTAAGCAACATAATATTGACCTTGGCTGACTAATAAATGCCATAACTGGAGCATATGAGAGCACGATATTTGCACAGCTCTTATATAACTTCGATATGAGGAGCGAGGCGCAAAAAATGTACATATATGTACGTTCCACCCTCGTTCTATCGTCCACGAACCGTCCGTATGCGTATGCCAGAACGTATACGAGAACGATCGTTTTCCTGTACACCGACGCCTTCGGCAGCGCGCACACACATAATAAACGCCGCAATTGTTACGGCGAATGCGCCGAGATGCTCACGATAGAACAAACAATCCGCGGCGGCGATACCTTGACACGCGTGGCGATCGATTGGACGCCGGGCGACGGCGATCGATCCGATTGATAATTAAACGCCAAAAGCGGCTTATAATTAAATGACCGATCGCCATCGCCGTTCGTATTAGTTCCGAGCGATCTAAATCGGTCGCAGAACCCATCATCGACCACAAATCGGCGCGCGTGCGAGGGAACGCGGAGACTTTTCCCTCGTTAAGCGTGTACACACATACGCGCGCGCGTTTCAATCCCACGCCCACGTGACGTCGCCATCAAAGCATCGCGCGCTCAGTTTACAAAACAATTACGTAAGCGGGAGACTTTTTTCTGCTATACGAGAGCCGGCACATCAAAGCATCGTCGTCATTAACCGACGTCGTCATTAACCCCTCGGGTACCCGTGCTCTAAATCGCTGACTTTCCGTGGGCGACACGCGACGACGATCGACGTAACTCACCCCCTTCGGCTTCTCCAAGAACCCTTACGCCATTGTAACGGAGATCAAAAAGGAAATTGTGTATCGCACGAGAGCGACGTCACGGTTCTAGCGTCTAACGCGCGCGCGTCTGCACGCTACTCGAGCTCTAAAGAAAAGGACCACGGAGAGAAGTAACGAATGCTGTGTCGATGTTAAAGGAACACCCGCGCGATTTGCTTCCATCCCTCTCGCAAATTGCATCTTTTACAATCGCTTTTCCCACATGACAATTAAATCCAACGTTATGTTAATTCCTCACAGATTTATCGTTTTTATCCTAGGCTTCCATCTCTTCACAGTAAGGATTTAAAATAATCCTCCCTCCAAGATGGGTTTTTTCTTTTTTTAATAAGCATGTTTAAATTTCCTTTCTCTTTATTGCCATCTTTTCTTGAATAATTTTTTAATAAGCATGTTTAAATTTCCTTTCTCTTTATTGCCATCTTTTCTTGAATAATTCTGAACAATTATACAGAATATTATTATTTAATATAATATTAAAATACCCAGTAGCCAGCACTCAGTACAGCATTCACGTTCACAGACGTCGCTCTCGTGCGATACTCAATTTTCGACGTTCGTAGTTGAATCGCATCCAATATACTAATTATATACTAATGATATACTAATAATATATTATTTATTAATTATTTCTCAATTATTACTTATCATTTACTTATTCGTTTTCTTTTCAAGCCCCATACACCTTAATACCCGACAACATCCGTATCAAAGTGCCGGAAACAGGCAGAATGCCGACTACTGCACATTTCCTCTATATTTAATTTATATTTGCTATGAGTTAAAAAAGATACAATACTTTAAGTAAATCAAAAGGAATTCAATATTTTATCACGAAACTTACTTCTGGACATACCACTTAACGGGTTAAAAAAATATTTAAAGCCCGGGATAGGGCTGGGAAAAATATTTAAACCAAATTTTATTCCGACTCTGCTGGACTTTCTCCGATTCTTCCTCTCTCGCACTCGCGATGCAATTCGCAAACGTTTGGTCTCCTTCGCTCGATCGCAGAATTGTCTCCTCCTTCCCTCAAGCTCTTACTCCAACGTTGTCTCGCTATTTCACCTTTTCTCTCGTTCTCTCTCTCCCTCTCTCTCCCATCCTTTCTCTCTCTGGCTCAATTGTCGAGCCGTGACGGCTGTTTGTTTTCCGCGCCCCAACAGCAAAGAGGGTGGCGCACAATTCTTAAAGCCGTGTACACGTTATGCCGTCATGCGTGAGCGTTCCTACACGTGCACACGCTACATATACAATACGTGGCGCGCGCGTACAGCGGGGACTCTCGTTGGAATGACCAAGGAGCACTCGCGTGCTACGACCCTGGTTAGTGAAGAACATTTGACTCTCTTTTTCTACTTCACCCCTCCCTGCCCCTCTGCCGCTTTCCCCGGTGTCGCCCTTTCGCTTTTCGTCCGCCCCATTCATCGAGTTCATCCGCTCTCTTCCAAGTTCCTTAATTAAACCCTGAAGATTGTCTGCAAAAAGGACATCGCCCGGTGTCCCCGCCGTCTCTGAACATTACGAATGGCACGGCGAAGGGACAGGAGAGATACAGGCAGGAGGGGAGGATGAGCGAAACCGAGACCATTGGTGGAAGAACCGTCTGTCGGGCCGCGTATAATGGTAATTTCTTGTCGGCCTTAATCAAGAAGTTGCGCGATCGAAATGGTCATTCTGGGTCAACTTCTAATAGCGTTAATAATCGTGGCCATTGTTCTTGTCGGATGAGAAAAAGAACAGGTGGCTAAGTGGGATGTTTCTCTTGGACAGGGGGATTACGACAACGAAGAATAAAATTTTCAGTACATTAACGATGTGCGTAGCAAAATCAGAAATATGATCAATGTCGGGAACAAAAGCACGTCGCGCATAACGAGGAAACGCGTCCACGTCTCTAAAGATACAAAAGTATGTAAATTTATTACGATATTATAAGATATTTATTATAAAGCAAACATACGACAGCTCGTAGGGAGATAATAGGAGAAAAACTTCTATAAATCACGACGTTCTAATTATAATCGCCGTGTTGTCTCTTGTGGATGAAAAAACACAATATGTGTGTGTTACAGTAAATCGAGGCGACGTGGCGACGAACATAGAAGTCGCGTGCAGGCATAATATTAATGGAGCTTCCGTAAACACCTTAAGGGTAGATATTACAAATATAAAACGCGTACGGATAAACGGAGTTCTACAGAGCTCTTTTCAACCCCGTGAATGCAAGTGTTTAGTGCGTACGCACCCTTCTGCCGCAGGCAAAGCGCAGAGGAAAACTAGGCTCGGAGGACGAAGGAGCGAAGGAGAAAGCTGGAGAGAAGCGAGGAAGAGGGACAGA